CCGGCGCCGGGGTGCGCGCGGGTGGGAGCGGGCCCGACTCAGCCTGATTTACGGCTCTGCTGAAAACCGCTCTGCTCCCGCAGCAGTAGCACCGGCCGCGGCGGCAGCAGCAGCAGCAGCGCCTACAGCTGCAGCAACAAGTCGGGTAAGTGGTAGCCGCGGTGCATCTGCGCCTGCGGCCCGGCCCAGAGGGTGCGGTGAAGGGGGCCGGCCGGGGCTGGGCGGTTGGTCCCGTCCCCTCACCAACGCGGGGAGTTGGGCTTCTCAGCCCCCACCTGCAGGAACTCGTGTGCACACGAACCCACTCTGGCACCCAGGGCTGGTACGCCGCGGGGCGGGGGCGGGGGGACCCGGGACCGAGGCGGGGTCCTTGCCAGCCTGACCTGCTCAGGCAGAGGCAATTAGGGCTTTTCCTGCTAACCCTGTGGACTGGTGTTTCCGCTGGGCCTTTGAAAGCTTGCGTACTCCCGGAGTGCGTGATTACCCATTTCTCTACTAGAATGCCACCCCTTTCCCATTGCCCCCTAAAACCCGGACTTCTTCCTTTACCTCTCGCCTGTATTTGGTCAGGGTTTGTATCCCATCCCAGAAAAACGATGGTTACACAGCCCGGTGTAGCACAGGAAGAGGTTCCCCTCTCTGAGTACCAGAGGCTTGTTAACCTGGAAGCTTTGCCTAGCTGTCCGGGGACCATTTGCACCTCTGCTTTTGAAGAGGTTTAGGGCCCAATAACAACACTTTTCAGCCTAGACCCTTAGCTGAGCTCCCTCTTTTGGGGGCCCAATCCTTCTTACACTTAAGTAGAAATCGTTCCTGGCGGAAATAGATATATGCTTCTTGCGCAACTAGGTTGCTAACAGTCATCTGTTGCTAAGGCTAAGATAAATTCCTACAAGGAAATAAGAACTTGCTTTTTTAAAAAGAGTTATGCTGATACCTGCTTGGTTCAAACATTGGCCATTTCTGGAGGTTGTCATTTAATGTCTAGAGGTTGATCCTTAAAATAGGATCAGAGACAAGGCAAATACATTCAGAACACTTTTTTTTTTTCCAAGAACACTTTTAATAAAGTCTTGGCCGTGGTCCCACTTAGGTCAAATAGTATTTGACACATTGAGTTTCCAAGTTTTAGTAAAACTGGAATATGGGGGCCGTTATTGTTACGATAATACTTTGATTTATGCCATTACAGCAGTAATCAAAGGACAAAACTAAAGGCAAAATCTCAGGTTGAAAACTTTTCAGCTGATTGTTTAATGCCACTGCACCTAGTTTGAGTAATGTCTTTTCTGTTCTTGAGGAAAAATCACTGAGCTTGCTCTCTTTGACAATTCATGCTGAGTTTTTCTCATTTTTTGTATTCATGCTTATCAGGTTGTCAGTAAAATAGGGCACAGTTTTGCAGTTAGTATACTAAATTCAAGAGGGCAGGAAACTTGAATCTACTTCTGGATCTGCCATTTTCCATCTGGCTTTGAATTAATTACTTTATCCTCCTTGCTCCACTATTCTCATCTGTGAAAAGGAATGTTACCTACCTTCCTCCCCGCCACTCCCCCAAGACAGGGGCCTGCAAACTTTTTCTGTAAAGGCCAAGTAGTAAGCATTTTTTTGGCTTTGCAGGCCATAGAGTCTCTGTCTCAACTATTCACCTCTGCCTTGTAGTATAAAAACAGCAGTAGACAATACAGAAATGAATGGATATGGCTGGATTTGGCCCAGGGATTGTAGGTTTTAATTGTCACATAAGATGTTATGTGCAAAAGTCATTTGACACCAAAAGCCTCTGCCTTCATGGAGATGAGCAACAATAATCATTTCAGTAGCATTTTAAAACAGACATGTAAGCTGTTTTATTTTCCCCTACCCAGGACTTTTAGAGTAATGCAACAGAAGGCTTTTGAGGAAAGCAGATACCCCTGGCAGGAGTCCTTTGAGAATGTTGCTGTGTGCCTGCCATTCCGCTGCCCGAGGTGTGGAGACCATACCAGATTTAGAAGCCTGTCGTCGTTGAGGGCCCATCTGGAATTCAGTCACAGCTATCAGGAAAGAACCCTCTTGACAAAATGCAGCCTTTTTCCATCCCTCAAAGACACAGACCTTGTTACTTCCTCAGAAGCCCTGAAACAGGGAAAATTGCAGAGCTGTGGCAACGTGGTGAAGCAGAAACCGAGCTATGTTAACTTGTATAGCATTTCGCATGAACACTCCAAGGACAGAAAGCCATTTGAGGTGGTGGCAGAGAGACCTGTATCCTATGTGCAGACCTACACTGCAGTGGATCTCCGTACAGACTCGCTGGATGGGCCGCAGTCGAGCCCTGGACTTCCCACTTCAGACCCCAAAGCTGCTTTTGAGGCCCATGTCAGAGAAAAATTCAATCGGATGGTCGAGGCCGTGGACAGGACCATCGAGAAAAGAATCGATAAACTCACCAAAGAGTTGGCCCAGAAAACTGCCGAACTGTTGGAAGTTCGAGCAGCTTTTGTCCAGCTGACTCAGAAAAAGCAAGAAGTTCAGAGGCGAGAGAGGGCCCTAAATAGGCAGGTGGATGTGGCCGTGGAGATGATTGCAGGGCTGAGGCAGCGCCTGACAGAATCCGAGGAGGAGCTTCTCAGGAAAGAAGAGTAAGTGGCTCTGAAACAAGATGCTAACCTGATTGCTTTAGGCACCTTCCCCCAAGTTACAAGTGAATGTTAAGCAAGGCTTGGTTTTTATTACTTGCAGATACCTTGGCTGCGTTTTCATTGATAGAGCTGAATGTGGGAGGTACAAGGCTTTTAATATTATTTGCCCTCTCTCAGTATGGTCCGCAGCCTAGCAACATAAAAGTCAAAATACCTAATTCCTTCTCACCTTAGAAACTGTAAAGTACAGATAATGTTTTTAGAGAGAGGCGTAGTGCATCGTTTCTGTGGTGGGCTCCATTCCCAGCAGCCACTGGTGAGCTGGGGAATTGAATGAAAGGGCAGAAAGGGCATGTTGGGGGAGCCTTCCTTCTTGACAGTCTCCATGTAACAGAGTTAAGAACATGAGGTGCTGTCGTATTCAAGTATAAAAATATGCTCTAAGTACAAATAATTTTGGTTTCTTTGCCATTTTGGATTATCTGCCACTGTTAATTAAATGTCGATTGCTGAGACTCCATTTAATTATAATTTTTTTTTGGAAGGAGCAAACATTAGGAGACCCAGAGGAAACTTTCTGATATTGCTGTGCTTCTATGATTTAAATTTTAGAATTTTATTTTTGTAAAATAATATGTCATCCTATAGTAAGTCATGCCTGCTTACAAAGAGTTGACACTGGTTTCAGAAATTATACGTGATCAGAGAGGCTAATATTTTAAAAATCATCAGGCTTGAAAAATACGTCCTTATCAGTAAGTATAGATTCAACACAAGCCAGAATAGTATACATAACAGTGCAGTGAATTTCCCAAATGCAGAATGTTGGATTTAATTTTAAATGGAGTCTCAGAATTCATAGAATGAAAGGGCATGAAAATTGATAAATACTCTAGGAGGAAAGTTTCCAAATAATTTGAGTTCTGTTATAGAGATGGACTTCATTTCATACTTTCTTTGTCCTGTGGCAGTCTTCTATTTGTGTTGTCTCTTAAAATACAGCAATTAAAGCTTATTCCATTTGTTAAGAGGCCGAGAAACACTGTATATTAAAGGAATCATCACCTGCTGTCACTAAATGCTTACATTCTACAGAGAAGGAAAAACTGCTCTGCTCAACTAGACATTTTTTAGATTACAGAGTGAGGACAGAATTGAATCAGCCACTGATTTAGTTTGCTCTTAGGGAGATGTTCTCCAATGAAAATTGTTTATCTCTTGGCTTCTGGTGTTTCCTGGTGGGAATTTAGTGCCTTGACCCATTACTGCCACCAGGGTGACTAACATTGCAACACTGGAAAAATGGCAGATGGGGTTGCCCTATGTGCAGAGAAAAGCTTAGAATTAAATTTTATGGTATTTCTGTTTCATTCAAAAGCAGTGGATTAAAAAGGTAACCAAACTAATTGTTCACACTTACTTATTTGTTGTATTTTATTTATTATTTACACAAGTTATAATGGATCTGAAATTCGAGGTAATAGTTGCCTGGAGTATGAGAAGATAGTATGGGGACAGGGAGGATGGAGTGGTTAGAGCTAGGTTATGGTCAAGGATCTAACTTTTACTTGGGGCGATGGGTTCAAAGATGCTTTAATATTAAAAAGAAGTGGTTAACTCACTTAAGAAAAAGTGGGCCATGCATGAATTAATAATGATAATGTTTTATTGTTAATCCAGGACCAGTTGAAAAACTAATATGAGCTTGTAAAACAAAAATTAACAGGGTAAAATTGTATGTGTTAAAAGTCTTCCCTGCTCTCCAAGTATACCCTACCTCATTCTTTGGAGATAGCCACTGTTTAGTTCAGTGAATGTCCTTCTAGACCGCTCCTGTGTGCATACAGTTACCTGTACTTTATACATACATACATACAGAGTTACTGTGTTTTCCCAAATGGAGTCATGACAGGGACTGTTCTACCACTTATATGTGGAATTTGTCTTGTTTTAACATAATATGTTTTATGTTATCTTTCATGCACTAAATATAGAGTTATATCAATTCCTTTGGCTATTGCATGGTATTCCATGGTGTGGATGCACCTTGATTGATTTAGCTTGTTACTAATGAATACATGGTTTTGTTCCATTTTCCAAGTTTTAAAAATAGTGCCCTTGTTAATATCCATATCTATCTATCTTTGTTCATATTTCCGTGAGTATATCTGAGGGTAAATTATGAGTTAATTTTTAGTATGACATTTTTTGGACTACCAGGGAAAAAAAGAAAAGCAATGACATTAAAAAAAAAAAAAAAAAAAAAAACCACTTTAAATGAGAATACAGTGAAACTGTGTTAAACTTTTAAACGTAAAATAAACAGAGTCTTCATTTTTTTAAGGTTTCATTTGGCCTATCCCATCAGTTTCTGTGTTCAATCCTCAAATAATAAATCTTTCTGTCCAGAATATAGGACTGAAAGAGTCTTGTTTCCAGGAAGGACAGTGGAGCCCTTGGTCTGAGAGAGAGAGACTCAGTGTCTCTCAGTGTCCAACCTCCACGCCACTCCCCCGCTACTCCTCCTGAAATGGGAATGCAGAGCAAGCCAGCTGCTCATCTGCCACACCCTTGAAACCAGGTTGATTTGACTGAATATGCCTGGCTGGGCCCTGCCGCTTCCCTCCTCACCACTCCCTCACTTCCACCAAAGAAGTGACCTTTCAGATAAGGGAAGCTGCTGTGTGGCCAGGGCCATACCAAGAGCTGTGCTCTCTTGCTAAACCCTTTCAAATGGGTTCTCAAGGCCCATTTGTGAGAGAAAGTAGGTTGTTACTGTCCCATTCAAAATTGACTTGAACTCCGGAGACCCTTTGAGACTTGGTGGATTCAGTTGAAAAAAAAAGCAAACATCTAGTATTTAACATTCACATTAGATTTTATTGCTTATGGGTTTTTCTCCCAGCTTTAAAATCCTTTCTTTCAAACTGAAATAAAAGACTTGAGGGCCAGTTTTGCCCTGAGACCATCTATAGACTGAAATCACCTTGGATTATAGAAGTCACCTACATGCTTTTTAACAGAGATTTGTTTGAATTGACAATATTTTGTGTTGGTAAGTCTCATTGTACCTTTGTAGAGAGGTATCTACATTTCTGGAGAGCAAGTCCATAAAAGAAATTGCTCACCATCTTAACAAAGTCTGTGCAACTTTAAAAGTCCTATGAAAACAGGTATTTACTTATTCAAGAGTATTCCGTGCTATAGGGTAGCACTGCCCGTAATCAGGTAAATCAATCCTGGCCAATCTTGCAGTAAGGTAACCCTTAACGGGAAAGGGTGGATGTGTACAGGAGCTGATTCCTGGTGGAGCTGGTCACCTGGGGTTTGAAGAACATCAGTGTAATAACAGTAATCCTAAATTTAGGTAATTCTAAATCTCTGTTGGTAAGGTCGGAAAGTCCAGACTGAGCACCTGTGATGAGCCCAGCACTGTGCTAGCTGTGTGAGGGGAACAAAATTATTGGTATTTTCCCCTAAGGAGCTTATACTCCACATAGGAAGAATAACAATACCCATGAACACGTCCATGTTCAAACCCAGAGTAGTTTGAACAAGTGCTAAAATACAAGCCATGTTTTAAGTTGGTAAATAAAGATTAGATTTTTCTACGTGAAGAGCTACAATGAGGGAGTGAGGATGAGGGGCAGGATTTGCATTGGTGGCCATATAGTGACATTGAAGGACAGCAGAGAGGTGACTGTTAGAGATGACCCATGAGAGAACTGTGTAATTTTAGTACTAGAAGGTACTCCCTGTCTCCTTCAAGAAAACACTCTCTTTTTACAGATCTGGAATATAAGGCCCAGAGTAGTGGAATGACTTTACCCAAGGACAGAAATTCAGTAGCAAAGCTGAAACTGGAACCCAAATTCCCCGTCTCACTGCCGACTGCTTTTTCCATTCACTGTGTCTCAGCCAGACTTCTGAGAATGTGATACTTGCTCTAAGTGTCAAGACTTAAGTAATACCGAATCTGGCCCATTTCGGAATGGGCTCCTTTGCTATTTTGAGAGGGCTGCCAGAAAGACACCATTTATTTTTCTGATGTGATTAAAGAAAATGTCAGCTGGCATCAGAGGTGTTGGAAAACTGGGAAATGGTGGCGTCATTAAGTGTGGTTACAATATTAAGCTTCCGGAACACCAGCCCAGGGCTTTTAATTTCCAACAAGGGCTTTTAAGTTGACTCTCGGCACATCCGTGCCCAGTCAGGGTGGAGCATGTGCCACTGCCAGCCTCGGGTTGTAGTGAGGGGCCTCTTTGTAATTCTGCTCTAATTTCTAGACTGCTACCTTGTGAGCTACGATAGGCAGAATCTTTTCCCTTCTTCCTTCATCATTTGCCCTGTTCCCGGCTTGGAGTCAGCAGAAGACAACTCTTTATTGCGTGCCTGCTGAGTGCCAGGTACTGTTCTAGGTTCCGGTCAGACAGTGGTAAACCAAATGAGTCCAGTTCTTGCTTTCATGACAGGAGTAAACCAGAAGGTAAAACAGACGTTAAATCATCTCTATGATAAAAGAGGTGTATGGGGTGGCCTGAGCCAGGTAATAACCATTTAGGTTTCTATCCTAAGCTGTCTGTGGAACACTGGCCTTTGAAAGGAAAGTTTGACTTGGTAACTTGCTCTGCACAACAACCCTCTTGCTGCTTAATTTGTCTTTCTCATTTTTGATCACTGAAGCAGTGTGTTGGAGACTCGGTTTCCAGACTGATTCATAGCTAGGAAGCTGGCCAAGAAAAATCATGTTAGATGTAGCATTCAATGAGACAGGGTGGGGTCTGTTCGTTCCACATTTTAACGAATTTGTATAAATGGGGGTCCTCTCTTTCCAGGCTATGTTCCATGTAGACTTACACACTAATGTAGGAAAAACTGGATGTCAGATATGTTCTCTGAGGGATGACATGCGGTAAAATTTGGAGACCCAGGAAAATTTTCTATTTTTCTGCCTCTTGCTCCCTCCAACTCCCTACCCATCTCCGGCCTGAAGGGCTTAG